AAAAATCAGCCTTGGTTCTCTATGTTGCTTCACTACAACTCCCACTGTCCCAAACTAGCTTATTGTGAGTCAGGTTTAGCCTAGTAAAACTTTAAAGACCACCAGTTGAAAAGGGTTAGGGTTGAAACTGCAGGGTCTAGCTCAGTGATGGCGAACCTTTTAGAGACCGAGTGCCCAAATTGCAACCCAAAACCCACTTATTTATCGCAAAGTGCCAGGGCTGCATCAGCAGTGTGGTGCTCTCAGGGGGGTGGGGGTGGGCGTGGCTGCGGTGGTCACGGCAGACTGAGTGGGCATGGCCAGGGTGGGGGTGGCCACCTTGATGTTGCTCATGGGGGGATGCCTGTGGGGGCTGGGCAGAATTGGGGGAGATCCAGGGGGTCTCTTGTGGGTGGGGCGGTGGGCAGGAGGCTCATCCTGTGGGGTGAGGCAGGGGGTAGGGCGGGGGTGCCATTGCTGTGGTGCAAGGTGAGGCAGGGGGGCTGCTGCCTGACACCATCAGCCCCCGCACACAGAGGCCAGCGAGCGCTTGGGGGGGGCGTGCTCTACAACCTCTACTCGAGTTTGCTAGCCAGCTGCTTCGCTTCCTTTGTGCTGGGTGGGGCTTCTGCTCCGGGTGCCAGCGGTGGCCTAATGGACCTGAGCGAGCTGGCAGCGGCAGGTGTGCCCACAGAGAGGGCTCTGAGTGCCACCTCTGGCGCACGTGCCATAGGTTCGCCATCGCTGGTCTAGCTGCTCAGATAGACGGCTCTTGTTTATGAGATATAACACCTTCTTTGCTATTACCACCCTCTCTTTTTCTCTACCACATTCTTAATTCAGTTGAAGTTGGAGCAAAATAACTAGAAGATGCTGAAATGCAACCCCCAGTCTCCCAAGCCCCAAGTTTCACATATTCACTGTTCACATCCAATCCAGGAGATGATAAATGCCAGTGCTTAGATCAGCGATGGCGAACCTTTTAGAGACCGAGTGCCCAAACTACAACCCAAAACCCACTTATGTATTGTCGGGTACCAGTGGGCGTGGCCCCTTGGGTGGGTGTGGCCCATTGGGTGGGCGTGGCTGCGGTGGTAACAGCAGACTGGGTGGGACTAAAAAGTTCAATCAATCATTTCCAACTTTGCGAGATCTTTTTTTCCCCACAAGAAGTTGAAATTGATTGATTGATTGAACCTTCTTTTTTTTTTTTTTTGCACAGGGCGTTGGAGGCCTAAAGCGAAAAGGTTTTATAAAACCCAGCTGAAGTCCTAGGAGTGGGGCAATGGTGCATGTGCCCACAGAGAGGGCTCTGAGTGCCACCTCTGGCACCCGTGCCATAGGTTCGCCATCACGGGCTTAGATTTTTCCTTTCCTTTCCCATTCTCCTTTCCTCTCTCTTTCTCTTTCCCTTTCCCTCTCCTTTCATTTCCTATCCTTTTGGTCTCTTTCAACTGCAACCCTTCACCTCCCCTCTCCTCCCCTCCCTTGTAGGAAGAGCTAATCTTTTTATGTAGCCAAAATGTTTCACCCCTAATTAAAACAGCCCCCTCGTTAAAGCAGCCCAGCAAAGACTGAAAAAAAAATCCGATTCCCTGAATTCTGTCTGTAGCAGAATGGCATATGGACTTGCAAGTATGCTCAGGAGCCCTCCTCACTGCAAGGTTTGGCTCCAGAACCCCCTCCTCTCCCCATTGATGGTGTAAAGGATAAATGAGGCAGAAGGTTAGAATATCTGGCTTATAAAATGTTCTTTTTTTTTTAATAGAAACAAGTGGAGGCGTCAAGGCCCACTAACATGTACAAAATGTAAGAGAGACAAGAAAACAAAAATCAACAGACACATGTATCCAGACATCCTTTCTACAAAAAATTCTGCAGGGTGACTGAAAACCATCTTTCAGCATCCAGGACAATCGGTAAAAAGATTTCGGCCCAAATGTATAGATCCATAAACATCATCCAGTCCAACAAAATGTTTGAGCTAGGCAACTTTATAATTCTGATAGGGAGGGGAGATTGAACTGAGGGGGGTCAAGAGAAGACTTATAGCCTGGGAAAAACTGAAGGGACAGCAAAAGCTCTTGGCCTCTCCCTCCTCCCTGCCATGGGCCATTCCATTTTCCAGTTGATTTTTCCCCAAAGCCCAAATTCATAAGGAGATTGAAACTCATGCTTTTCCATGATCGTCTCACCAGATCTTTGGAGTCAGGGAAGAGAAGACAACACAAAACCCCTTATTGCTGATGTCGAACGCGCTAAGCTAAACCAATTTGTCAACTGGCTTAATGTATCTCCAACAGAGGTGGCTCGTTTTTTGGAAGACAGATAAACCTAAAATATGTGGGAAGGGGTGGAATCTCATAGGTGGATCAGGTATTTGACAGATGGGTATGACCCAGATATTTGATCCTTCTCTTTAGGATTTGTAAAATTGATTTTTTTTTTACCTTATCTTAAACTTACTTTTAATCATAGATTATGGGGTGGGGGAGATAACCCCTCCCCCCATTCTGGCAATCTGCACTCTCAGTTTTGGACACAAAGCAGGCAGTGAAGGCTGGCAAGAAACAAAGCAATGACCACTTTTAAATATTGAACCACATTAGCCTTTTGCAAAGGTCGAACCACATCAAATTATTCCGTTTAGAAAACCTGTGATGGATCCTGATGTTGCCAAAGTGGTCAGCACCATGTCTCAGCCTGCACACGTCACTTGGCTAGTATTCCCACATGTGTTGGACTTCAGCGTCAATCATTCCCACAAGCTTGGGGAAGGCTAATATAACTAATTGGTGTTTGGATCTCGACCAACCAGAAACAGGGTAAAAGTGAGTTGGGAGAAAGCTAAATCCCACTGCATTCAAGGGGAGCCAGTCATGCGCTCCCATGCTTGTTTACACAGAAGTAGGCCCCCAGGGAATTTAGCACGGCTGAGTCCCCATCAGTATGTGCAGGATTGCAGCTGAAATAAACAAAACATCTAGAGCCAATCCATTATGAAGTGTCCCCAAGTATTTCTCGACTGACTCTGTTTAGGGATTTTAATTTCGACTCTCCTGGGGAAAAATAGGACATGTGTTTGGTAAATGGAAGATGCAACCTCATTCCTCTTAAGCTGTGAACAGAGTGACACTCGTGTTAAGCTTATTTACTTACTTACCTACCGGTAAGTATACATTGGAATTTGGAATGGTCCAAAGGATGAGGAAGAACATATCGTCAGAAAGGCATGGTTTTCTTTGGCATATGATACTGTTAACAGCCACAAACACAGATGGGCTTTTAAAAGAAGGTTGAACATATACTCATAGAAGAGAGGCCCAATAAAATGATGCCTAGTATACACAGAGTGCAATCTGGTTGAGAATCGTAGGGATCTCAAAGGTCTTCAAATGCAGGGACTACCGCTTGTTGGTGTCACAAATGTTCGCCATGGGAGAAGGGCAGGTCTCAACCCTTGGCATTGCCATTCAAAAAGGGCAGATTATAGCTGGCAATGAAGCCTCATTGCTGTGTAAAAAAACTAGAGATGAATAGATCTCGAGGGTAGTAGATGAGCAGATAATTACATTTGATAGAAGGGACCCAGAGATAATTGTGTGTGTGTGGGGAAGGGCTCTGGAGCACTGCTTTAATATCTGTTAGCTCAACCCATTATAGTTGCATGGATTTCCTTCTGAAAACAGTTGCCACCAAAACCCATCTCTTCCCCCTTCTCAAACCTCACTTTGACTGGCAGAGGTGGCAGCATTGCCCCAGTTCTGCTCTCCAAACAAGCTTACCACAGCACTAAAAACATCAAAAGTAATATCACCCCAAGTAATATCACCACGTACAAAGTTTTTGGATAGACAGGTGCTCTTCTGAAGGCACATCCACCTGGCAGGTTTTCCCAAGGCCTGGCTCACGGTAGGCAAGAGGAAGTACTAGATGCTTTCCCAAAACAAGGAAGGATGCTTTTGTCTGGATACTGCAGAAGGCAATCCGTGAAGGCACCACTGCTGCACGAGTGCCCTGAAGTAGGGCACAGAATTGTGGGGCTAGGACTGCATAGTGCAAAGGTGCTGGACAAAATCAGTGCAACCCGAAGAAAGAGCTATTTTAATCAAAACATGGAGGCTAGGAAGTCCTCTCCTCCTGGGGAAGTGCTGGTTAAGTGGAATCTCTAATCCTGCTTCCTGAAGCTCTTCCGCTACTTAAAATAACGGAAGAGACCAAAAGACATTTGCAAGTATTTAGGAGCTCTCTGTTTGGTTCATGGCCAACAGGCTGGCTTCTGTTTTAATGGCAGCAGTGAAAGGAACCATCCCACCTATCATCTCTCAAGCGCTGCTGAAATGAAGGAAGTTTAGAGAACCCCAGGATCAATGTTGGGCTGCTCCATCTAGTTCTGATATTCAGAACCAGTTCCTGGCCTCAGAACCAAGTGTAGGCATCCTGGCTCTTTTATGACTTGTGGACTTCAACTCCCAGAATTCCTGAGCCAGCCATGCTGGCTCAGGAATTCTGGGAGTTGAAGTCCACAAGTCATAAAAGAGCCAAGATTGCCTACCCCTGTCCTAAACAGATGCCTCTGGTCCAGGGTCCCATTTATGGATCTGGAAACACTTATAATAATCAAATGGGTTCCTCAAAGCCCGAAGGCCACCAGCTCTGATTCAGAAGGATGCAAGACATAGCTTCTGAGAGTCATACCAACAACGGGTTCTCCTTTGAATCAGAGCCAGCAGAGTTACAGTACCACCCCCCAGGAAGCAAAACATGAATTCCTTTCCACCAAAGAGTTTGGTCACTTCCTTTTTCTGATGCAACCTCCAACTTATCATCTCAGTTGCCTGGGCAGAGCAACCCGCAAGCAAGGTTCTCCAGTGCAGGAGGAGAGGAAGACCCCAGCAATAGCTACCTATCCTATTCAGTTTCCTAAATGACAGCAGGACTGACATTCCCAGTTGAAAGTGAGCAAGTGTACCTAAAGAAGAAGCTATGGGTTAAGTCCCCAGCAGCCAGCGTCCCCTTACTCAGTCCCGCTTCGGCCAGACTTTGTGTTTGACTTTGACGGTCATGTAGAGGGCTGTGAGGCCACAGCAAGCCATCAGCACAAGGCACATAATGGAAAAAAAAGGAGCCAGGTCGCCATGCAGCTGCGAATAAATGAGCCTCCGAGTCCGGTAATCGAGAAGCACCGCCTCTAACTGGATGAAGGTACAAAGTATGAGGAACATGTGGAAGAGCTGGTGGCCTTGTCCAACAAAGTGACACTTCCCGGGAAACCACTTCTCGGGGTAGGGGTAGGCGAAAAAAAAGGCTGCAACCAGGAAGCACAAAATGTGGCACTTATGGTAGGTAGCAGCCAAGTCGTTTTGCCCAGAGATGGTGGCGGTATAGATACGATGGAGCACAGGGCTAATGTCTAAAGCATAGGCTACTGCAGAGGGCATTTCCTGGCAGAGCCTCCCCTGCAGAGGGGAGAGGTGTGGGCATCGGTATTTGGCATAGCAGGAACCAACACAGGACAACCAAGCCAGCCCCACCGCACCTGGAATGTAGAAACTGGAGATCCAGGCATGCCATTCTGGCTCAATGGCGTAGTAATAATGCACCAAAGCGCTACCGTACTGGTAGGTGGCCACCCCTACATAATCCAGGAAGAAGAACGTGTAGTGGCAGAACTCAGACTTGGCTTGCAAGAGATGAGCCAAGGTGCTGAAGGTGGAGTAGATGATGGAAGACACCGCCACGATGCAGAAGGGCTGGGCGTGCGGGTCGCCCACAAAATCGACCATCTGGGAGAGTTGCCAGAACCGCCCCAGCAGCATGAAAGCTGCCAGCAGATGCGTCCAGACATTGAGTGCTTCATTATGCTGCTGGAAGAGGGAGAGGAAGTAGAAGGTCCAGCTCCGGTGGAGGGGTCGGTAGCCGGCCTGGATGTAAGGCTTCCGGAAAAGCTGGGGCACGTCGGAGGCTGCCACTGTGCAGGACGGAGCAGGCAAGGCCTCAGCCAGAATCCGAGGGATTTTGCACAAGTGCTGGAGGTTGATGAAGAGGTGGCTGAGTTTTTCAGATACAATCGTTGCCATGACAGGAAAGTGAGAGACCTTGAAGAGGGTGGGGAAAAAAAAGAGATTCAGAGGGAGAACAGAGGAAAGCCTGCAGGATTGATCTTGATCGGCATTCTAGGACAACGGAAATCATGGACCAGCAGGCCATTGGGAGGAAGCAGATGTGTGCAAAAACACCCACCCACCCCCAACACACAAACACAATTCAACAGGAACTTAGACTGCACCCGCCTGGTGCCTCTTCATCTGGAAATTAAGCTTCGCTGAACACAACGGGACTTGCTTTTAAGTAAACACACCTAGCACTACACTGCTTGGATACAACCAAAACAGGACTGCAAAAAAAAAAAAAAAGAACAAAGTTCAAGACAGTAAAATGAGACAATGCTAAGTGGTGTGTGGTTTTCGATTTTACCCCAAACAACCTGGAGCATTTGAAAGCAAGACTTTAAAAGTCAGAAATTGGAGCCTTAGTGGAGCAGCGGACAGGCAGAAAATGTCAGTAGATCCAGGTAGTCCTCGATTTACAACAGTTCATTTAGTGACCGTTCCAATTTACAACGGTACTGAAAAAAGTGACTTATGACCATTTTTCAGAGTTATGACCGTTGCAGCCTCCCCCGTGCTCATGTGACCAAAATTGTGATGCTTGGCAACTGGTTCGTATTTATGACGGTCGCCGTGTCCTGGGGTTATGTGATCCCCTTTTGCGACCTTCTGACAAGCAAAGTCAGTGGGGAACCCCGATTCACTTAACAACCGGATTACTAACTTATCAACTGCTGAGATTTACTTAACAACCCTAGCAAGAAAGGTCATAAAATGGGTCAAAATTCACTTAGCAAATGTCTTGCTTAGCAACAGAAATTTTGAGCTCAATTGTGGTCGTAAGTTGAGGATTACCCATATAACCTAATTCAGTGGTGGTGAACCTATGGCACACGTGCCAGAGGCAGCACGCACCATTGCCCCAGCACACGTGTTGTCTAAAGCCACAGACTACCTGCACAAAATTATTTACAACCTTCCTGGATCAGAAATGATAAAATACTGCTGTAGGATACTGTACAGCAGTTCGGAGGAATGAAGATAAATATTTGGATTGCCTAAAAAGGTACAGGAATGAAATCAGGAGCGCGCACGTGAAAAAAACAAAGTGGTCCTAACTTTATGGAGATGGGCAAAATTACCAGTGAAATGACAGGGGCTCAGCTCAGGGGCTGCATTGGTGTAGCCACAGGAGAGAGACAGGGAAGGGATCATCCTTCTTAAAAGACTGCCTGCTGCAGCACATCTGCACCACCTAACAGCTGGGTTTCTCCCCCCCTCCTCTAGGCTTGTTTTTCTCTCCTAGCCAGAAGACAAATGTGCAGGGCTAGCTGTGTAAGGGAGGCATCAGCTACAATCCACGTGATTAGTCTTTCACCAGGCAGCAGTGAGACCAGATAAGATTTTCAGCATCACGAGCGTGTTGCTGTGTGCCATTTGACAGGCAGAGAATGCAATGTGCCCAGTGTGGGCCACTCAGGAGCAACATGGCTGGCTAGAAGAATTAGCTCCAGGGCTCTTTTCTTTAACTGCTGTTCAAGCAGCCTGTCTAAACCTCCAGTAGATAGAGATTCTCCAGTTTGAGCATGATCACCAGGCATCATATTTATTCTGGCAGCTTTTCCCTCATGCACAGCAAAAGAAGTTCTGCAGCATATTGGTTACTTCCTCAAAACTCTTCTTCAGTCAGGCTACGCTTTCTGAACGGGAAGGAGCTGGGTCAGGATTACACTCCACTATCTGTCAGATGCCAAAAACTGACTGAGATTTACTCCAAGAACCAAATGGGTGATTGTGATGACATCAGGCGAATCGGCTTTCTCTGCTTCGCTTCTCCCCAATCAAACGTCCTCCAGATGTGCTAGACTCCATCTCCCACCCTGCTAACTATAGGTGATGGACTCGGCAGTCGGACACATCTGGAAGCACTGGGGGAGGAAAGGCTGGCTGGGCTGACCATATGAAGATCTTGTAACGAAGGATAAAAGCAGAGGTTGGGTTCACACAGTTACGCTTGACCTCACTTGGGGTTCTCAAGAGCAGAGGTCCCCAACCTTTTGGGCACCAGGGACCAGTTCCGTGGAGAAAGGTTTTTCCGCAGACTGGAGGGTGTGTGGTTTTGTGTGCTGCCTGCACCCCATGGATGGGGCTTTGCTTGTTTATGCGGACTGGTTGCTGGCATGCCGCGGCCCAGTACTGGTCCACGGACCGGGGGTTGGGGACCGCTGCTCAAGAGGATCACTTTAGAGTTGAAGCAGAGATACAGGACTAAAGTTCTTCACAACTGTTAACAGCGGCTTCCACATAATGGGAGGTGAGCAGGAATGATCCAGTGTCACCATCTCCATCTTTTTTCATTCTCTTCTTCCAGATGCCCTTGATTTTAACTGTTTTACTTCTGTAAATAAACTAATAGTAATAATACTCATCTGTTTTAAGAACATCAACTTCATCTCAACTTTCTAGAGTTGAGACTCTAGAAAGAGTACAGAGAAGAGCAACAAAGATGATTAGAGGACTGGAGTCTAAAGCATATAAGGAACGGTTGTTGGAATTGGGTATGTCTAGTTTAATGAAGAGAAGGACGAGGGGGGACATGATAGCAGTGTTCCAATATCTCAGGGGCTGCCCCAAAGAAGAGGGAGTCAAGCTCTTCTCCAAAGCGCCTGAAGGCAGGACAAGAAGCAATGGATGGAAACTAATCAAGGAGAGAAGCAACCTAGAACTAAGGAGAAACTTCCTGACAGTTAGAACAATCAACCAGTGGAACAACCTGCCTCCAGAAGCAGTGAATGCTCCAACACTGGAAGTTTTTAAGAAGAGACTGGACAGCTATTTGTCTGAAATGGTGTAGGGTTTCCTGCCTGAGCAGGGGGTTGGACTCGATGACCTCCAAGGTCCCTTCCAACTCTACTACTACTACTACTACTACTACTACTACTACTACTACTACTACTACTACTATTATTATTATTATTATTATTATTATTATTATTATTATTATTATTAATCTCCCTTAAGAAAGCATTCCCACCTTCAACCGTCCATAGTTCTGGAGAGGATGATCAAGAGACTTCCCCAGATTATGGTGCTGCCTTTATTAATAATATTCTTACTAACTAACCACTTTGGATGGCCAGAAGAGAGGAATGCTTTATTTTGGTGTGCAGAAGTATGTAGGAGAGTTTGCCATATTTGGTGCATAGTAACTGCCATAAAAGGTCCTAGGATTTTCAGAGGACATCTTGATTTATTCTCGTGGAATATGGCTTATTTGTTTTATTAGGTGTGTAGAAAGTATTAGCTTTCTATTTGAGATCTATGCAAGCATATCTGTAAGAGGCAAGCAAAGAAAGTCAAGAGGACAATCGTGACCTTGTCGGTTTTTAATCCCCATTGTGCACAGGGGTAGGGCTTAGATTGCAAGGTGTAAAGAGGGTGGAATATCACCAAGATAAAGACATGCAGGAGCAGTTTCCTGGCAAAAAGGCCTGAAGCATATTTAAGTCCGGAATGAAATAACATTTTGAAGAAGCACAGGCAGAGGTCTCCCTAATTCACTGAAGTAAGAGCTCCAGCATAATCAGACTTATAACGTTCTGTTATTACAGCCAATCTCAATAAAAGTAGTTTTGCCCTTCCTGGGGTGGGGTTTGATTTTCTGCTCTGGTCTACTAGTGTAGGGACCGAAGGACACCATCTATATCTTTTTTAATTTCTTTCTTGCAGATGCCATTGTTTGTATCTGCTTTTCTTCTATAAATAAACTAATAAGAGTAATACTGTACAAATTAGGAAGATGAGCTAGGAACAAGGTAAATTGAGCTAGTGAAGACCGTGCAGAAAAACAACTGAGTTGATCAAAAGGACTAGGAAGGGTTTGTTTGTTTTTTTACATTTTTAAGAACGTATGTGTGAGTTACAGCTTAATGGCAAACACGCGCCGCCCACAGATGCCTTGACAATTAGGCAAAGGCAGTCTGATATCCAGTACGAATTGCGTATTTGATGGGCGGTCTTGTAGCTAACATGGGTTTTCCCTAACATTATCAGGCTACAAACAGGGTGTGATGTGTTGAAAGGGAGGTTCTAAGAGCTGGGTAAGTATGATAAGGAGGGTGAAAGCCCACGAAGGAGGAGGGGGCCGCCTGGGACAGGAATCTCTCCACCTAACTTACACACCAGCAAAACCCCAAACAGCTGCAGAGTCACAACAGACAGCTTTCGGAAGCAAGATGTGCATTTCTGGATTCCAAGACCTGAAGATTAGTCCCAGGCTTGGTGAAACACAGGAGAAGCAGGACATGTGGACTGTCTTCACGTAGCACACTCAACCTGGGTACAGGTAGTCCTTGACTGATGACAGCTGAGCCCAAGGTTTCTGTTGCTAGGCAAGACAGTTGTTAAATGAATTTTGCCCCATTTTGTGATCTTTCTGGCCATAGTTAAGTGAACCACTGCAGTTTTAAATTAGTAACGTAGTTGTTAAGTGAATCG